GGCGGGGAGGGCGGGGAGTTGGAAGGCGAGTGGGTAGTCGAGGCGCAGTGTGTCGGTGGTCAGGCTGATGCATTTGCTGCATGTGGCGGCGGGGAGGGTTTGGTTGTCGTGCGTGACGGGGATGGCGGGGGAGAGGAGGTGGCTGAGCCGGAGGGAGGGGGAGGAGGACGAGGGGGGCGGGACGAGCGGGAGGCGCGTGACGCATTGTACGCAGCGGTGGGAGGGGCCGTGCGGGGCGTCGGTTTGGGCGTGGTACGGCTCCGAGCAGATGCCGATGTCGGTTTCCGGGTAGTAGTAGCCGGTTGTTAGGGAGGTGAAATGGGCGATCTGGGTGGCGGTGTTGGCTTGGACGGTACGGAGGCCGTTGGGGAGGAGGTAGACTGCTTCGACTTTGGGTTGCGGGCTGGTGACTTCGGCGCTGTCGTTGTTCGCTTGCGTGAGGTGTACCGGGTAGTTGCGGGAGTTGATGAGGAGTTGGCGTCGAAGGTAACCTGCTCGGTGTCTCTTATAAGGCTTTTTAATGCTTTGGTAATGGTTATAATGCCAGGAGCTGAGACAGATCAGCATAAGGAAAAGAAATACTGATAGGCAGTACTTCCGCTGGGGAGAAGCAGTGTGCTCGAGTGAGTGCAGGAAGTAGGGTACTTACTTGACGGACGTGGTTCGAGTCGAGGGATTGTACGGTAGGTCTCAGTGAGGATGGGATGGGCTTGAACCTCAGGGTCGAGCAGTCTAGAGATATCCATAGCCATCTTGAATGAAGTCTTTCTTAGAAAGCTTGTAACCCTGTTGTTGTTGTTGGTGGTGGTGGTGGTGGTGGTGGTGGTGGTGGTGGTGGTGGTGGTGCTTGTTGGAGGTGTGTCAAACTTGTCAGAAGATGATCAGGTCCCAGAGGGTGAAGATGGGGTTAGGATATGCACAAGGCTGTAGGTGACGATTGTGAACACTCAGATGAAGATGTTGTGGGATTGTTGTGTATAGCGTATAGCGTATAGCGTGGCCGACCAAAAGGGGGAATAATCTCGTGCCTAGTTTTGGTCTGATCATGACATTACCGGTAGCTGTTGAGGTCCTGTGTTCTTCGCCCTGAATCATGGTGAACCCATTAACCCCTAAGCTTCCATTCTTTGAAAGCTTGCGCCGTTTCTTGATACACCTCCAGAGGACTGCGGGCAAGGCCATTTCTATCTTGCAACAAGCGAATAACTTTCGGATCCAACTTGTGACCGCCAGTGGCTTCATCTTTGTCCGGACGGATCGTCACAGCGACTGACATCCGGCCTTACCATGATCTTGTTGGCCAGACCGTGCAGCATCTTGAAGAGCATCTTGAAGAGCATCTTGAAGAACTCCTGACTTTATCATTGATTATTGGCTCCAACGATGACAAGCCAGGAGGGCACCAGGACACGCTAACGCAATGTGGCACATGCCGAAATTGGCATTATGCTTGGTCACGTGGCGCCTGCCCTAGCCCATTAAAAGCAGTCCAGATGACACTGAAGCTGAAGGGTTGTCATATCGTACGGTAGCATATGCTTTACCTGCGACTAAGGAAATGCTGCTGTCTCGCCAATAGTCAAAAGGTGAGCATCGAGCTTGAGATCACTTGCTGGAATAGAAATACTGGTGGCAAGCTGTTTTGGCATCTCGTTCCCTCTCTTTGAGTCTTCTTACAGTGCTTTCACTGAGTGAAAGAATTTGTTGCACATTAATTTCTCATCAGTCTTGACCAAGTCCCTCATCGCTTGCATCTTCTGGTCCTTTGTCATGTCACCCGCCTCGACCTGTGCCTTCCACTTCACCAACATTTGCTTCAGGAGAGCACTACCCTCCTCCACATCTTCTTTGGAATAGTCGTCCGTCTTAGCCTCGTGATCTGTGGAAAAGTCTTCCAGCTCTTCTGCTTTTCTCCTCGCCATGTTGACGACTTTCTCAGGGAAGCGGACCAGCTCAGCCACGTGGATACCGAAGCTTTGATCGCTGATGCCAGGCTCCACGCGGTAAAGCAGAGTCACTTCCCTCCTCTTTGCTTTGGCATCATCCACCCCATCACTCTTCACAGCCCCATTCGTCTCTCCACCTCCAACAAATGCTACAACATGTAAATTCTTGACAGCATCAGGGTATTGGTCCGCGAGCGCAGTGAGCTCATGAAAGTGCGTTGCAAAGCAGCCAAAGGCTCCAATGCCCTTCACAATCTCCTCACTGATCGCCCATGCCAATCCGAAACCGTCATAAGTGCTGGTACCTCTTCCTAACTCGTCAATGATGATGAGACTATCTCTGGTTGCACTCTTTAGAATGTTGGCAGTTTCCAGCATTTCCGCCATGAAGGTCGACACACCCTTCAGCTGGGAATCTGAGGCGCCAACACGAGCGAGAATGCAATCAAATATTGTGAGCGACGCTTCAGTGCAGGGGACGAAGCAGCCCACTTGTGCCAGTAATGCTATGGTCCCAATTGTTCGGATATAGGTTGACTTGCCTCCCATGTTGGGTCCAGTAATGATTAGGAACCTTGAGTGATCACGGCGCAGCTCGACATCGTTGGTGATAAACGAGATATCATCCTGACATTCCATACACGGGTGCCTTGCTTCTTTCAATATGGTATCGCCTGTGCCACGAGCATGCATCGTTGGCCGGACATAAGCTGATGGCGCGTGGACAGAGACGTGTGCGAATGAGACGATAACATCGAGATGCGCGAGAAGGGAGGCAAGTGACTCTAGGACGGGGGTGTAGGATGCTGCAACGGAGACAACTTCGGTAACAAGAGATGACTGGGTGCGATTGTATGAAGTTGAGAGCTGGTCATGATCGCGACGAAGAGCTTGCAAGACGTTGGTGGTGAAGTATACACCGTTCTTTTGTGTTGATATCTCGAGGTACGATTTCTTGTTTCGAATGCATGATGCTTCGTTACGAGTCAGTCGGAAGCACCAACCATGCGTTCTGTGATTCTCCAGGAATAGCTTCTTGTCGACCTCCTGATTCAGATCTTGGCTCGCACGACGATGTTCCTGATCCATATCTCGTCTGATCTTCTCCAGCTTCTTCCGGATGATACGGAGGGAGTCATCAAATTCAGGTTTGATGATAAATTCATGACGATCCAGAGCATCCAGATCGACTGTCGTTTCTACCATCTCGGCCAGTTTCGAGAGACTTTCCGAGAGACCTCTCAGCTTCGTAGTATATTCGGCTTCTAAGGGCCCCTGATATTGCTCGTCAATGACTCCTTCTAGCGTCCCAATGATCCCAGGTAACCTGATGACAACTTGGTAAGCCCTCACGACATCTTCAAGGTTGGCCAACTTTCTCTGAAAACGTTTGGAAAGTCGAAAGAGGTCAGGTATTGATCGGAGGTGTTCTTCTTGCATGGTTTGCCGCAGTTCAGTATCCATCACAAAGGCTTCCACCAATTGTTGTCGCTTCTCGATCTCCTGCAAGCTCATCAAAGGTTGCTTCAGCCATTGCGCCAGAAGCCGGCCTCCCACCGGCGTCTTACAGTGGTTAAGCAGACCAAATAGACTCATGGTCTTCGATCCGTCTCTTGGTCCGGGCATCAGATTGAGAGCTCGAAGTGCAGCTGAATCCAACTTCATGAACTGGGATAGATCATGTTGGTAAAGCTGATACTGCCCATAGTTGGAAGGATCAGTCATTACTCCAATATACTTGACAAGGGCAGCTGCGGAACCCATTGCCAGCTTCAGATCGGTCTGCGGTAGGGTGCCCGTAGCTTTGTCATCCTTTAGCAATCTAACCAGGTCTTGCTCGATATCTTTCGTGCCGAACTCAGCCATGGGCCTCTCTGAAACAGCGATCCCACAGCTGTCCGCAATGTTTCTCAGCTTGGCAAGCTCAGCATCTTTTTTCTGCCCATCAGCGGCCATGAGGCACTCTTTCACACCCAACTGAATGAGAAGGGACTCGAAATTCGAGTACAGATCGTTATCCAAGAACTCACTGATTCCGAGCTCACGCACACTGGCATCTGCGAAACAGACTCCAACCGTACGCGCCTCAGCCTTGGCGCTGACCTTGACTGCAAGTATGATAGGTGCGGCCTGGCTGGCGTCTGCCGACCCAGTGCCCAGCTCATCCTCGACGCTCTGTAGATTGCCAGGACTAGCTTGCCTACCCAGAACCCATGCTCCCTTGCCATTGTTTTCGAAGATCTCAACTCTCTTACCCAGTCTGAATAGAGCTTCTCGTAGAAAATTTCGGAACGCTGTCGTGGTCATTGTGACAGAGGGAAGAGCATTATCAGATTTGCCGAGATAGCGGATCACCGCTGTAGTTTTGTAAACTGCTCGAGCGATGAGGTCCGCATCTGCACCGTGAGCAGAGTACCAATCTCCCCGCTCGAAGATCCGTATTGTCGTGGTATCATCTTTGCTTGGAAGTTGACGAAATTGGCGAATAAAGCCACCCTCGTCGTCAACCTAAAACTGTCAAAAGACTGAATACACACACATGGGGACAGAAGGCGGTACCTTCAACTCAGGCCTAGAAGACATGATGGGCGTTCAGAGTTGGGGGAAAGTGTCTTCAGTCACTGCACTACAGTAAGGAAATAATCGACACCTGGATTTACGCGACCCGGACGCGTAGAGTGCCGCCAAACTAGTTGACTGATTACATAATTGGACTTGCTGATTTATGGACGCGAAGTGCACTTACTAATCGTCACGTGGTGTACCAGCCTCTTGATCGTCTTCACAACCTAGGTCAACTATTGCTTGACAAATGTCCTGCATAGAAATACAACCCCCGAGAGCATGTAACACAACTCTTGTTATTAAAGCCTCTAACTATTGACGCCGGAGAATCCCGTATCCCAGCATCAATGACAAAGATACCCTTTCTCTTAGCTGGAGCAGTAACCTACAAGTATATTGTCAGTTCATGCACCGGTAGGAAAAATGCCTATCAGAAGCAAGATTGAGGCCTACTATAACAGCAACCCATTCATACTAGAGCATAGGTTAAAGGGGATCAGCTTGACCAACACGTCAAGAGCCAGGCTGTGTTCAGCACATTCCCTTATATCTTGTATTGGTCCTAGATGCCTAACCAGGCAAAATATATAGATGCAACATGGCGACTGAGAAACCTTTCCTGGTACGGTTATCTTAAACTCCGCTGGTATGCTCGCTTGCTGAGGACGGTCAGGGAGATCAAGAAACACGCCTGCAGGATGCCCATCATTCAGGACTTCCTTTCCCAGCGATTGACGGCTTCAGTGCCTCTATAGCTTTGGGCCTCGACCGATCGACGCTAGCTCTCGGCTCCTTATAAGTCGAAATGTCCCTATCACGTATCCTCTTCTGGATTTCAGGATCGCTTTCATCGCCAATGAATGTCCAGCTCTCCTCTATATCAACTGCAGGATCATCATTATGGACCGCCCCGCTCCGTGCATCCTTTGACCCGACCGTCCGTGCGTTGATCAATGTCTTAGCATATTCGAGATCTCGGTAAATGGCTTGTATGGCATTTTGCACACCATTCTCCTATCATAGAATTTTAGTAGTAGTTCAATGACGACAAATGCCGGGTACTGATAATAGACATACCTTTCGAATCTGCTGCCCCAGAACCCTTGCCTTGATGATCATTCGTTCAGAGTGGACTGCTTCCCATAGTGCTCGCGAGAACACTGAAACGTTGACCTTCTTAAGGCAGATACCAACGCCCAAGTCCTCAACTCGGGATCCAAAGAAGAACTGGTCCCCAAAGAAAGGCTTGATGATCGTAGGCACCCCTGCACGCAAACTAGCACCAGTGGTGCCGGCTCCTCCATGATGTACAGCAGCATCGATTTGCGGGAAAAGCCAATCGTGAGGGGCTGATCTAATTTGATGCAGTTCCGGGGGGAGAGGAACTTCAGTCTTGACCGCAGCAGGATCGCCAAGTCGATCTGACCAGCCTTTCGAGAGAATGCAGCGAACATCTGCTTTCAATACAGAGTCCACGACGGTCTTGGTCAACGCGGCAGGATCAGAGACGACGATTGAACCAAATCCAATATAAACAAGCTTCTTGCCATCAGCATGGGCTTTATTGATAAATTCAACCAATTCTAGCGGTGGCGCCCAACCAGAGGCTTCATCGAGGAACCAATAACCAGTGACTCTTACCCAATCACTGTAATCCAGAGGTGGCACAACCACATGTGGGGAAAAGTTGTACAGAAAGGGTACTTTGTTCGGCTGCATCTTGTCCAGGTTTGTGCTTCGAAGACCCAGCTCCTTCTTTCGCCAGCGATTGACTTGCCCTGCAATGGCTTTCCAGAATACGTTGTCGAACATGACGTAGGAGAAGTAATTGTACGCCCCGCCAATCTTATGTTCAGGCACAGCGAAGGCATGAGGATACGCTCGAGTCCGCGTCCAAGGCATGGTAAATGCTCGAAAATACGGGATACGCAAAGCTTCTGCAATGTGAATTCCAGCCATTGCGCTAGGCGACTCAATCAAGATATCTGAGCCTTGGCAAGCTTTCCAGGCAGAGGACAAAAGGTCGTCGATCCAAGAACGAAATTTGAGCGATGCTTCTCTCAGGAAAGAATATGTAAACATGCCATTTTCAATGCAGATGCGCATGAGCTCCGCCGGATCACCATCGACCGGACTGAAGTCAATACCGTGCTTGCGGACCCAAGGCTCGAATTCGGCGTGAGTTGCTATCCGCGGTTTGTGACCTTCCGCAAGAAGCCCTTTGCATAGCGCAATGTATGGTTGCACATCTCCACGAGATCCTATGGTAAGGCAAGTAATGCTCAACGATTTTGTCGGCGTGAAATTGATGATAGAAGCTCTAGGGTCATCGAACAGGATTGGTGGTACTTCCTCAGTACCAGCATCTTTAGGGTCGTCGCCGGGTAGTTTCATCTCATGTCCAGCATGTCCTTCTTGGCGAGCTTCTTGTAGCATTTGATGCTCTGTTTTCGCAACCTGTGCTTCGTCATGATCCTCTTGTGCCAAAAGACCAGATTCCACAAGGTACTTGATGGATTCCAGGTTTTGTAGAAGCGTCACGGTGCAGTCGTCTCGGTGTTCTGAAGAATTGAATTCAAAGAAGAGCTCTTCATGGCCTCGTATGACCAGAACAAGACCGTGATAGCCAAATCGAAATCCTTTCTCTTTCTCGACATTCTCAATATCTTTGAGCGGAAGGATCATCTTCGTCTTCGTACCTGGCAACAAGCTTCGAAAACAAAACTTACGATCACTTATATAAACTTTGCCGTACAGAGGTAGTACTCGATGAAGGTAGGCGAAATAGGTGGCACGGAGCTTTTCAGAGGCTGGTAGAGCGAAGTGCGCCCGAAATCGATCACCATATCCCGATGCAGCCTCCTCGTCTTCTGGGTCGACAAGACGGTCTTCGGGCATAATGCCCTCATGCTCACCGTAATGTCTCCTTCCACCCGCCCACATTCCAGAAACCTTTTCCAAGTAACCCATGGATTCAGTCGCCAACAACTTGCTCATTCTTGTTGACGAACTTTTCAAATAGCCGGCAAATCCGGCTGCCCTCTGGAGTGGGTAAGATCCAGCTTTCATGATATCTTGCAGGTTTGGTGAGGACGTTTTGTGCTGCAGACCATCTCTAGAGATAGTATCCGACGTAAGTGGATCATTCTGCAGCAAAGCACGGTGCGGAGCAGGTTTGGCGTGAGAGGTCCTTGACGGCGATGGCTGGCGTATATTAGCGGCCACTGATGCAAATCTCTCATCACTCTCGGAGGTTTGACGAATGTCTTCGCTGGACCTCACATGAGAGTCTTGCAGGCGACTGATGGTCGGAGAGAGGAATACGTCACTTCTATTCAATATTTGACTGGCAGATTCCAGAGTGGGGGTGGTTGGTGAATGGATTATGGGCGTGGATGCTGTATCTCTGTCCATAGATTGTACGAACGAGTCTGAACCACCTGGAGGCTGGGACGTCAACGACTCCACAGATGGCCGTCCAGTTGTTGCCTGGCTGCCAGGTCTCCTTCCACGGTCAAAGCTGGCCCTGCCATATTCTTGTCGAAAGAGATCAATACTTGGCCGCTTCAGCTCTTTATCTGACCTGCCAGCATCAAGACTCAGCCGGGGAGAAGTCCTACCACTGTTGGGGGTTGGAGGTGGCAAAAAAGTTGCTTTCACGCTGTCACGAAGTGGCGTGGCCGAACGAAACCGTGTGTTGCTTGAACGAATATCAAGAGATCCTCGAGGCTCAGGAGAAGCTGTGCGGGACTCGTGTTGCCCATGACTTCCTGGGGATGATGCCTCCCGGTTGTGGGTGGCGGCGTGGTCTACCAGACTACTCAAAACATCGAGTGCATCTTTGCCAAAGCTGAAGAAGGAAAAGAAGTACTATCTATAATTAAAAGGATCCAAAGCACGAAAGACGTTTTCACATACCTCGTCAATGGCGTACGTATCCCCACTCTCAACAACACGGACCTTGAGGGTCTCTGCAAAGTCAATAACAGGGCTTTCTTCAATGTCAATCACATTCTCAATGGGTAAAGAGATCTTCACGCTGTCACCATCATTGTGGGACCTGAAGATAACTTTTTGAAGATTCTTCACCCACTCCTTGGCACTGGTATGGCTGTCAGCCCTGAACTGGTAGGTTCGATGATCAGTTGTCAGCGAAAAATCTTTACAGGTTTTCTGCTTGTCTTTGTCTTCACACAGAAAGGCGGATATGCCGTATCGTAAGTCTATATTCCCGGCAGGGAAGAAGAGGTCCGCTGGATTGGAATAGTATGAGAGTACGTCCCCTTTCAGTGTAAACCAGTAGCGGGTAAAGGCTCGATTCTGCCTGCCTCTCTTCGCAAGATACCCTGTTTTGGCTACAGAGGCAGACTTCTTTGGTAAATAGGCATAGAAGCAGATGTGCTTGCGAGTTATGTATAGATAACCTTGCAGCAGAACAGTCTGAAGAAGCCAGCAAGGATATTCTGATATCACATCCTCCGGTTCTTCGAAGCCGAATATCTCCATCAGACGCGTTGCAAGCAGTGTGGCTGGCGACGAGCCGGCTTGGCCGCGACCTTTCTCGACTTTGTCAGAGCGCATCGTGGCTTCGGTCCCCAAATCACTCGCGCTGAGTTCTGCTTGAGCTTCTAGCATTCTGCTCATCATTGGCGCATCGCGTGGCGTAAGGTAGTTGGCCTTATCACTGTAGTCGAGAGAGTGTTCGTCACCAATATTTGCTTGCTGCTGTGTTCCTGAGTGCTTTTCCTTCCTCGGGCGCAACGAGAGCCTTGGCAGTGACTTTAACAACCTTTGCTCCGATGGTTTCCGCTTGTGGACCTTCTCTTCGTTACTGAGCTTCCGTGGAGAAATGTCTAGATTAGAAGGATGTGTGGTGGAGGTCTCGGACAGTCGCGCAGCACTCGATTGTGACGAAACCCCGCCTGCTGACTCTTCCATGCCCAGCTCATCTTCCTCGGCGCTATCACTCGAGTCGTCGAAGCGAGCATTGAAATCTGTGCGAGATCCAGCGGCTGCGATCATGGAAAAAATGGACTGATTCATGTACTGAGGAGCGCTGGCGCCTGCTCTGGCTGGAGCTGTAACGTCTTCATTTGCATCTTCGCCATATTTGAAACGTTCAGGAACATGACTCGAAGGGAGGCGATGTAGCCGTTTCGGTTTCTTAGACAGTTTGCGGCCAATCCGTTTCTTGAGTGGTTCTTCATTGGTGGGCATGGTGTAGCTAACCCAAGAGTTGGGTCCGTCTGTGTTGGGAAGCGTCTGCCTTTCGTCGATGGGTTAAGGCCGACGTGCAAGCTCAGAAAGAGCTGTTTCTCAGGAGCCGGAGTTGCGGTGCGTGAGCACCTGATGCTCACCTGATCATGGAGAAGGGTTGCGAGGTAGGGTGGTCATCTGGCATTGGAGCAGTAGAACAAAATGTATCTTGCCATCTCAACATTCACCCAAAGAGGGTGATCTATTCTTCTCGCCGCGGCACGATGACAGGGCACTTTCTAGATTGGAGATAGAGATAACAGCAATCCCAGAGCTTCACCAGCAATACACGCTATGTACGGCTTCGGAAATAAGTAGTAGTAAGTGATGCACGGGAGCACCCTGGCATGTGCCACCATGCGAGCCACTGGCAGGCCGGGTCCAGCTTCCGGAGTCCACCCTCATAGGCTCCACAGGACTATCCCACGCGAGCACTACGTAGTAACTAGTTAGTTACCGGTAATTTCAGGCTCTTCAAGTAAAGTTATAGGGCTTTGCTGCATGTTCTGCAGGCAGCAAGGCTAGGCAACGGCTCCCTTTCATAGTCCTAATGGACAGCTACTTTACGAGTTGCAGGTATATCTCACCGCACTGATAGTTGCCGCAGGAATTCAAGGCTAAACACCAAGATCATGATATTGGAACAAGTTGCACCTGTGCGATGTTCAACATTCAAATTTACACTAATTGGTGGCCAAACCTGCTAATGATCATGACGGCCATCTTCTGCGTGTTGCAATATCACACTTCCTGTCTGCTGGTGGTGAAGTTCGAGTTCGCTACGTTCCACACACTGACATCGCTCATTGCTTCCACCTGGCGAGCTGATCCATGATATTCTGCACATTCTGCGCCGGACCTTGCTGAGAAGCTGTTCCCATTCCCTGATTTCCCGTATAAGACGACATACCAGCCGGGTTAGTGTAGGGCTGCATTGGTGGACGCTGGGGAAATTGGCTGTTCGATGACTGGTGGTGGTATGGTTGAGCAAGATAGCCCTGGTTCTGATTCTGCTGCCGAGCAACATTGCTCAGCAAAGCGCCCAGATCAGGCGTTCCTCCACCAGCTGCTGACATATGCTGGGTCGGGGCTTGATTTCGTGGTGTCTGCCTTAAATTGGCAAGCAATTCCTGTAAGTTCTGTCCACCATTTGGGCTCAAAGGACCTGGTCCACCATATGATGGCTCGCGTGGAGCTGAATAGCTGGAGATAGCTGGCGGGTGTGGTGGCTGATACGGTTGTTGATAAGATTGTGCATATGGTTGAGAGGGTGGCTGAGGGTACGGGTATGGTGGTGGTTGTGGTTGTGGTTGTGAATGTCCGTAGGGCTGAGCAGGGACTGGTGTGGCAGATGCCGGCAGAGCCATCCGCTCTTTTTGCCTGGCCTGAATGACGATATCTGCCGCAGTGCTTACATCGAGATCCACATATTCTACTACCGGTTATTCTCAATCACGCTCGATGCTCAATGTACGTGGGTTATCTTACCATTGAAGTTCACGCTCGTAGCACCTGTACCCCGATCGAACACTTGCAGCGGGATCCGCTGATTGAATTGAGTGTGCCTTGTCAGCTTGACGACGGCCTGTACACCTTCAATGATTTGCCGCTTGACCACAGCGCCAAGTGTTATACGGGGATTGAGGTGTATCGTTGCTGCACGCAGGCCCTTGTGCTTGAAACCATTCTCGATAAAACGTGAAAAGTGTCTATAATATCCAGGTCAATATCAGAACTAGAAAGAGTTCAAGGCAATGCATACTGGTCAACATCCTCCAAAATCAGAATTTGAACATCAGGCACATCTCTCGGATCGCGTCTAGGCAACGGAAGAGCAGCTTCATCATCGAAACCTCGCGGACTGGGACTTCTGTATCTTCCTCCGTCTCGTCCATATGGTGGGGACCGGGGGCGACCATAATGGTTGAAAGCTACTGGGCTTCTGTCACGGACACGATACTCGTCGCGAGTCTTGAACCCACGTGGTGAGGGTGATCGCATTGGGCGATAATCGTCTCGTCGTCGAGCAGGCTCGTCTCGGAAATCACTAAATGGCAATCGTTCGAACTGGCTCCCCCGATCGGCTCCGCTTCGTCTCCTGTCTGGCGACCTCGATCTTCTACGAGGCGGTTGTTTGCCATCAGCTGGTCCTGAATTTCGGCTACCCTTTTGTGGTTTAGAAATCTCCAAGTCTGTACGTCGTCAGAGGAACAAACATGAACAGTAAAGGAAGATCAAGCGCGGCTCACGGATTTTCCTCCCTCTGATAGAGGCGCCTTGCTCTTTGGCTAGAGCATCGTAACATGCACTTGCTTCAAGGAACTGTACAAAACCATATGCCTGTTTGAGCGATATCTGTGCCAGTTTGCCATGCTTGTGGAAGATGTGAAATAAATCCCGCTTCGTCACTTTCTCTGTGGGAAGATTTCCTGGATATAAGTCAGCGACACCCGCCTTCCTTCGCTACGTATGAGACAGGATGTGATCTTACCAACAAAGAGTCTCGATCCAGGAGGGAAGCGATCCCATACACCTTCCGTCACGTATATCCTCTCATCATGCAAAAATTGGTCATATTTCTTCTGAATTTCTTGTCCCCATGGCTGTTCCTCGTCGTTTGCGCTTTCGGATTCATGTCTTTGGCTTGGCGATTTCGTGCCTTTCCCACCCAGGTCTTTCACACTCTGGACGGACGGGCTCTGGATTGGTGCATTGCTTGCAGGAGATTGTTGGAAAGTGGCAACTGGGGGTGGGGGGAGACCATTTGCAGCTCGAGCATTGGATTGTGGAGGAGGGATATTACTTCCAGTTCCCAGCCCCGCTGCTGGTCGAAAGCTGGTTGTTTGTGCCTGATACGAAGTGGAGCTGGCATTTTGCGGAGGAAGGTGGTGGTATGAGCGGATACTTTCACTGGGTGAGTAATTTGGGTGTATTGCGGGCTTCTCCTGAGGAGGGGGCCTCGGAGGCAGACCTGGAACTACTGGCAGTGACTTCTCAGAGCCGGTTTGCGGGATGATTGTCTCTTCGGTGGCGGAGGCAGTGGTGGGAGCAGTAAGGGTGTCGGCAGCAGGAGCCGTGGCAGTAGACTGAGAAAGAGTATCTAGGAGAGATTGGTAATTGACCCCTTCTTTGGAGACACCGTCCGGAGAGTCTGGTCTCACAACACGATCGGGTTGGGCATGGGGACCACTGGCAGTGACTTCTGGGTTTGGCAACACATAATCTTCATGGGAAGCCTCACCACTAGAGGCAAGCTGCTCTTGTTCAGGGTTGGCATTGGCATTCTCAGTGAATTGCGCTAAAGAGTCCAAGGTGCGCTGCAAATCAGGTGCAGTGGCATTTGAAGTATGCGCATAAGAGTTGGTAGAATTCGCTTGACTTTCTGTGTTTCCATTCAAAGCTATGCTGCTTGAAGCGCTATTCTGGACGTTCGCATGGTCCTGCCCTTCCACGTAGCCATCAGGCTGCGCAGGAGCATGTATCATGTTAAGAGGTATCTTGTGCACCACATGGTCTTCCTGGTTGAGATCCGAAGTTTTGGAGGCAGAGGTATCGAGCGCTATGTCATATGTGGTTGTATCATTGAAGACAGGATCCATCTGGTTTTGGAGGACTGGGATATTAGAGGGCTCTGGGAGATGCAACGGTCGTGGGCTTTCTGGAGTCTGCGACCTGCGATAATGATGCGCTTCTGGAGGCAGGTCGGAATTCATAGGGACAGCTGTGTGATTCAATCCATCTACAGGATGCGGAGTGCTTGAGAGTAGGAGAGAGAGAGGCTGAGGCTGCCGTATTTGATTGGCTTGTGGTCATTACTAGGGACAGGCGATACTTTGAGAAACTGCAACGGAAGGTACGTTAAGGTAAGGAGATATGAAGCGTAGTGCTAAGCATGAGGAAGATCGGGGTGCCTGTAGGCGGTGGTGAGTATGAGCAGTAGTATTGAAATTGTTTGACACAAACTGCATCTGGTGGAGAGAAAGGTCTGCAGTCAGGCGTAGCCAGCCTGCATACATAAATTAAGTTGAGGTCTAGAGGTCCTCAGCCCCCTCCACTTCTGGCAATTTTCCCACTAGGCTCCGAGCCATACGGGTATGTATGTATGTATGTACTGTATGTAATGTGTTTTGGTGTGTCAGCAATCGCATTTCGGTTTCAGAATACGCATACTGTATGCAGCACACATCTCAAATGGGTACAGCGCTTGAACTTGGGCTGCGAGGGTTGCTACGACAGATGTCTTGCACTCAAATCAGCCCAATTGCCCTTTCGCTGCTGACCAGAGCACTCAGTTATCCTTCGCTAGTCCTGACAACAGAACTGCCCTCATCATCTAAGCGTCGTAATTATTCTCAGACCACATGTGTGCCTAGTGAAGCAGATCTTGCTTCAGCCAGGAAGTGGATTGCAACCTTCACCTCTGAGTCTATTCCTCGAGACATTGGCGATGTCTCATTCAGCAGGTCCAGCGGACCAGGTGGTCAAAATGTCAACAAGTGAGGCTCGGGCCCCATGTTCAGCATGCGCAAGGTTGACCGGTCTATAGAGTGAGCTCCAAGGCTCAACTAAGAGTTCCTGTGGACAAACTGTTCCCGCGAATACCTAGTCTCCTGCATTCCTCTGTTATGGCTTCTCGATACTACACTGAAAAGTCCCGCAGCCTACTGATACAGGCAGACGAGAGTCGCAAACAAACGGCCAACCGTGAGACGTGTTACCGTAAGCTTCATGAGCTCGTAGTCGAGCTAGCTAGGGATAGAATACCCGGAGAGACATCAGAAAGTCAAAAGGACAAGGTCAAAAAGCTGAAGAGGTCAGAGAATGAGGCTCGGCTACGGAACAAAAAGCAGCATTCCTACAAAAAAGCATCAAGATCAAAAAGTCATGGTGATTGACAATAGACGCCGTTAAGATACTTCGACATTGGGAATGTCAACTCAGGCAGCATGACTAGAGTCGGCTACTGCTTTCAATTGCCGGAGAGTTGATACTACGACTTGACGCAGTGCAATATCCAGAGAATCATTCTCTAGGAGTATTTCTAGCCACTCTCGAATGCTCTCGATCAGTCCAATGCAGCAGCTCCTTCCGAGCAAAGCTTCCTGAAGCCTCTTCAATGAGATTCCGAAGCGCTTAGGAAATTCAGGAGATGTGACAGCAACCCCCACGCAGGGCACCTTGACACTGCATACTAAGGTCCTCCAGTTCGATGGCTGAGAGCTCAACATGTGATCCACGATGTGCTGGAGTACGCTTCGTAAACAAGGGATCGGATCTATCTCTTGTACAGTGTCGAAGAATTTTAGAGCGACTTCGTCATCGTTTTCGAGTTGGAGCATGGCAGCATCAAAGATTGCAATCGGAATTGCGCCGCTCAATGCAGGCGTCTTGGCCAATTTCTGTGGAGAAGCCAGATCAATATTGTGCATTGAAACGTTGCTAGGGTGGATATCTTCTGCTGTTAGGCCCTGGAGGCCAACAACGTCCGCATCCTCATCGCCAACAGCCCTATTTTCGTTTTGTGGTTCTGGGTATTGATCTATGCCCAGGATCTGCTGTCGCGCAGTGATTTTCGCAATGTAGAGAAGTTCGAGCTTCATATATTCTAACCAAAGAGATTTCGAGCCTTTACAGAATCTCAAACCTCTTTGCATGTAACTCCTGGCCTCCATCATATCTGCGTGCTCTTCCATCGCGATATGGCCTGCATATATCCATAGATCCGGCTTTGATGGGTGTAGGCGAAGAGCTTTCGTCAGGATCTGGGAGAGCCTTTTGTATGCCTTTTGCTGTCGAGCGTACTCGATTTGCTGCAACCAGAGGCCGAGGTCGCCTGGGAACTTTCTCGTAGCTCGATCGAGAATGAAAAACACCCTGCGTTGACCAGTATGGGTAGGAGCCTTGACTATTAACCTCTTCACCCTTTTCCGTCGCAGAGCGTCAACGTTGATCTCGAATTCTGTGTATCGGGCATAGTCTGGAGGTGTGCATTCGCGCGCATTTAATTTGTGCTCGAACTCCGATCGTTTCTGTGCAATTCTGGCTATCTCATCCTGGCACTGATCAGTAAAGTCTAGAAAGCAGGAAACTGAGCCACAAACCGAAGTAAATATCCCCTTGCGCTCATATTCCTTCAGTTCTGGGACGGATTGCTCCAGAAAGAACCTGGCCTTGTCACTTGCCCCTGCCATGCGGTGTAAATGGCTTCAGTGATCCAGCAGTGATGCCCAATCGACGACAGTCATTTTGTGCAAGTAAATACTCATCTAACCCGCTCTTGTAGCGCCAAGCTTCCTTCGCGATTTTGGTGCGCGTCGCCAGAGGAGCTTCACTTAGAACCCAACGCACTGCAATTTAATTCAATCCCTCCTGCAATTCTGTTATAGCTCTTGTCTTTGTCCTTTATGTAATTATTTCCTTCGTCTCTTTCCATGCCAAGTTCCTTCCAGCTGGGTTTGTGACCTACTATGGCACCGAAGCACAGAGATGGAGATGTTGTCTTTTCTGTAGGTCGTCCCCCATTATTGTGATTTCGTGACTAATGCTGGCAGCTCAACGGGAAATGGATTGGATGGGCCCACACCATTACTGCTTTCTCAGGCTTCCTTGGAGCCTTGTTGGTCGGCTGCTGGCTTCATTATCATAAAATCGTACAGAACGAGTACCATGGCTATCCAGACGAATGGTTTCCGTCCGTCTCTGCTACCATTGGCGATCGGTACCCCGAGCGATCCGTCTTCCAGTTCTTCATCGCCATCACCTCGGGCCCAAGATTCGCATTAGTCCTGTTGTGGTACACCCTGACTGCGCGCCCGCACTCAACTCTTCCCAAGATAGTGGCAGGAACCGGGCTCTTTCGTACCCTGTCATGTGGTGGGTGGACATATATCACTTCTACGGACGACCACAATTGGCATGATATCTTCATGATCTCCTACTTAGTCGCAACATTGCCCTGGACACTGGGCTGCCTGGCGCTCAGTCCACCTAACCCCACAGCTATCAAATACCGGAAAATCTTAGCTGGCTTATTCTTTGGCACCCTCGTGCCCTTGATCTACTACTTTATTCAGCACAAGGTGCACAAAGTGCCTGGAGGTAAAACCAGAAGCTCGTTATATACTGCAGAAGCTGACAAGCTCAGCTTACACAATCTATGCTTTTTTCGAATGGTCCTTGATCCTCTTCGACGTCGGATTCGATGCAGTCACTGCTCTAGATTTTGAAAGTTTCGAGCTGGTTGTGAAAGATGTGAAAGGGCTTAGTAGAGGGTACGTCCCTTGGCTTCCAAAATAGAAAAAGTACAACAGGATTTTCGTTCTCTATAGGGTAGTCTGGACCTGACGAATTTTAGGGTTAAGCTGCTGAAAGACGATGTATTAGAAAAAGGGTGAGCCTATACTATGACTGATGAGCACATGAAGCACTAACGATTCGTGACAGCAAAGACAAACCGCTTGCACAACCCTTTGAAGGTCCATATTCGTGGTCCGTATTGCTCGATGCGGCTGCGGACATCTACACCGGGTTTGTTTTCTGGTCAATACTTAGTTCCCTGGGAATCCTGGTCTGGTATTTTCCTTTGTGGCACATGGGCATTTCCGGATACGAAGTCATGGTTATGTCAACTGTATCGCCACTACTGCTCGGAGTACCATTTCTGCGGTCGGTGTTCGTCAACAACGTTCGCTGGGTCCATATGTCTTCTCTCGTTGGCCTACTGGCTTGGCAGGTGAAAGATCCCGCAAATCGACTTTTTACAGTCGGATTTGCAGTATGGATGACTTGCCTGGCATGGTCAGTAACCTGGTATGCTGAACGTGGACAACCGGAGCGTCTGAAAGCCAGAATATTAGCATGGGCCGCTGGTTTGGTCGTTTCCAGTATTGCCAAATTTGCAAACCATACCAATAATCCCCTCTGGCCAATCTTGCATTCAGGAAATGGTGGATGGAACAAAACTGGGCTCGTCCTTGGTGTTCTTGCTGTGTTACGAGCCACACAACGAAGTAACATCAACGGAGACACCTACAGTCCGTCAAGTAAAAGGCAGGGATCAGCTGCGTTGGCTGGTTTGGGGCTTGCAGGTCTTTTCTTTGCAATGCATTCACTCTTGTCCGACTCGAGCACCATGATACTGTGGGTTTGGGAGGGATATCCCATCCGGAGCCCTTTGGCTGTGCCTCATGGTGCCTTGACGATTCTTGCAATGAGCTTGGGTTTGTTCTTTGGGCTTACGTTTCCTGGCTTCCTTGGGTCTTGGACAGCATTTGGCATTGGCTCAATTGGTGCCGCTGTGCTCACCTGCTATAAAAACTGGACTGGATTTTATGGAGCCCTTGTTCTTGCCACCTATATTATGGGAATTGCACCAACCCTGATAGCTTCCGCTGTGCATCATTCACCAGGAAGGACGTTTGGGCTGGCCTTCTTTGTTTATAATATTATGGTCCTGTTCCACGTTTGGGTCGTCGCATATGCATTCGTACCTGGCGGTCCTCTCGTGCGCGAACACACGGACTGGGTGATGGCTGCCACTATGCTTCTGATTGGAGCTGGCGTTTTCTCCGCATTGGTGACGAACGCAACGTCCTCAGCGCCGAGAAGAAGGCCTGCGAGCAAGGGTCGTAAGCTATCTTCGTACTATTTGCACATTCTGTTTGCCTTGCAACTTCTGTCAGCCTCTATCGCATACCTGAGGTTCCCTACAAATGATTACCAGCCGTACCACAAAGACGAGAAAGTTCTTACGGCTGGTATTTGGACTATTCATTTCTCGCTAGATAATGACATGTGGTCGTCAGAGCGTCGCGTGCGAGATGCAATCAAGGAACTTGAGCTCGATGTTGTTGGTCTCCTCGAATCTGATCTTCAACGCATCATCATGGGCAACCGCGATACCACTCAGTATCTAGCTGAAGATTTGGGTATGTATGTCGATTATGGCCCGGGCCCCAACAAGCACACCTGGGGGTGCGCCTTGCTCTCTAAATTCCCAATTCTCAAGTCGACACATCATCTGCTTCCTTCTCCTGTCGGCGAGCTTGCCCCAGCGATTGAGGCGACTTTAGATGTCTATGGGGAGCAGGTTGATGTCTTCGTCTTCCATTCCGGCCAAGAAGAAGATGCCGAGGACCGTCGCTTACAGTCCGAATATCTGGCCAAGCTCATGAAAGACAGTCCGAGACCGTCTATACTGTTGAGCTATTTGGTCACAAAACCATTGCAGGGCAATTACAACACGTATGTTGGAGAGAAGAGTGGTATGCGAGATATTGATCCGTCCGACTGGGATCGATGGTGTGAGTACATCTTGTACAAGGGTCTCAAGCGAACTGGATACGCACGAGTGAGTCGGGGGACGATTACTGATACCGAGATTCAGGTGAGTAAACCTCGTCACCCGCGCATCACATAAAGCTGATTCGAGTTTTCTTTTAGGTCGGGAGATTCGTGATTGGCCAAGCGCCAACAGAGACGGATGAGAGAATATCGGAAGACCAGGTGGCAGACGGTCTCCAATTCCCTGCTTTGTTCAAGGGAGAAGGTGTACGGGGACATAGATATCATGTCTTCGATGAGCCTAGATATTTCGCTTAGAGAACGTTACATAGCCGTGTCTTTATATATGCCATTTTAATCATTTTGCCAAATCTCAGATATCAAGGGTCCCGAATCATAACAGCAGGACCTTCCAGAAGGCCGCGAAACTCACCAAGCCCCTCCCCTATCCCCCCTCAAACTCGCGTCTAGAAGAAGCACAGCAACCAACCTTAGTTGACGATCAGCACAGTGCGCCGACCAAGACCTCAGCTACACGCGCGACCCAGTTGTAGCAACTAGTACTCCAAGACCAAGCGCGGCCTCGTTTGCTAAATCGGGCCCACCGGTCCACCAAATCCTGCACCTCCAGCTGCTCTATTTGGCGGCTGCAGGATTTCTAGCCTCGTTCAAGGGCCCATCCCTCCTGATATCCCTCTTATGGCAAGCGTCCATTGTATCGCGGTGGATAGTCTCCAGATCGCGACCATTAGCCGTCTGCACAAACTCACCCAAGCCCTTCTCGCTTATCTCGTACTGCCTCAGCCGCTGCGATGATGGACACGCCAGAGCGGCCTGGACGAAGTACACGGTACTCTCGACCCATTTGACGGCGTGTTCCCAACCATACCACGCCGCAGGTTTGGCCATCTCGATGCATCCGCCCTGTTGTCTGGTCTTGGTGTAGGACCACCAATACCCTTTGCTTGCTGGTGGCACCGGGAAGATGCGATTCCAATAGGTTGTGGGATTTACTGTGGCTTTGTCGAAATACTCGATCAACATCAGGATTTGACGTAAATCCTTGCCTTTAAAGGCGGGATTGTCGGCCCGGTTGTTGGTTCTGTCACGGCGGTTTCCATCATAGGGGAAGGTGAAGAAATACTGGTTCAACGGATCTTCAAAGTAGATGACGGCTCGAGCGATCCGCTTGAGGTCAGCAACCGTATAATCCGGCTCCACGAAAACCTTAACGCCGCTGCGCTGGTCAACCATTTCCATGGGCATAGTCAGAGTACATTGACTTTGGATATACGCCTGCCACGACTGCTGTATCTCATTTTTCCACTCTGAACGTTCGTTGAACAAGATGTCTGGTGATAGAAGCTTAGTATGCCCTGAGTTGCTAGCGGTCAGTTCGCCACCTTTCATAATATATTTTAAATCTAAGGAAGCCACTCACATCCAGGTATCCGATGTTGGTAAGAAGGATCAGGCATGGAAATGGGCTTGGGGAGAGAGTGGATTTCATGCACCTTCCACTCCCTCTTACCTTCACTTTGCTCGCGTCCAGGTACTCCTGTTTGTTTGGCTCGCGGGTGTTTGAACGACGTTCGCATGGGGAATGTTGTTCCAAGACCTCTCAGAAATTGTTCCCGGCTACTATCATCCCAATAAGCCGCGTTCCTAGGGAAAAGGACGAGATGTGCGTAGAATGAAAACCAGAACTGACGCTTCCGCTGTCCACCAGAGACGGCAGGACGACCCATAGGAATTTTTGGAGAAGTTTGTGCACCCTCGTTTTGCGCTGTGGTAGAGCCTGCAGCAAGGCTCATCTCCCCAAATGCATTTGTCGGAGGTGCTGCTGCTTGCGATTGAGGCTTGTGGAGTCGTGGGAGACAGCAACACCTGACGGCATCATTGCATTTAAAGCACGGCATCTCAAGCTTCTAAGAACCAGTAACTGAATAGTAAGAAAGTGAAGTACAACGAAATTGGAAACGAAGGAAATCATGCCGGGAATTCATATCTCTTCTGTTCATATATCAGCTGGATAATACTGGTTACACAGAAATGTCAATCAACGGTGCGACATAGCTTTCAGAGGGAGCCGTTAGAAGAGGGGTTGCGTAGTAGTTAGTTGTGAAACTTGCAATGTGAAGGCTTCAGGCCCCAGATATCGTGCCGTTCCTTGTCCTACGCAAACATCAAACGTCTTTTCGGTGATCTATCTGTGGTGTAGCTTTTGCTCTCTGAGACTGCGCCGTCGTGTTACCCACCTGGTACTCTCGTATTGATAGGAAGAGTAGAGGCATGGTGAGCAGATGGGGTAAGGGGGTGTGTTTGGTTTGCAGGAGAACTGAGGCTTGAACAAGTCGAAGTCAAGGGTAACCTGGCCTCACATTGTCGTAGGCTCTGCCTAGAGCGAGGCCAGATGACCAAGTTGAGGAGATTATCCAGTCGGACTTTGAGACCACATACAATCTTCTCTTCAAATGTCAGGGTTAGGCTGTATTATTAGTTAAACTCAGGCTTTCTTCAGGCCAGCTATCGTAGAGATGTGCAGGTGCAGAGACACCATAGGCAAGAGGTGAGTCACTCCACCATCTAACTTAAGTAAAGCACGTACAGTAATGATTTGGCCACTCAACCTTCCCCTCATTCCCTCAACCTCGCTGGGACATCTGTACACAAACCTTTGTTGAGCTTGATAACCACCTGGATTTTTGAGACCACTTGCCCATGGCGTTCTCGACAGGCGGCTCTTCAAATGACCGACCGAGTCGTGCCGTAAAGATTCCCCACCGTGACAGCATGCAGGACTATTCGTCCACCCCTGTCCGCCAAAGAAGGAGCGGAAGACACAACGTACATGATAACCTGTCTGATCGATCAGATAACGGAGCTTCATCGTTGTCCTCTGAGAGCTCATCTTCAGCTTCAAGCCTATTCCCTTCAACGATGCTTACACGCCTAAAACCCAATTCTTCCACTCGAAAGCGACATGAAGACAGACAGGCAGAGCATCATTTGCCTGGCTTCTCAACAACGTCATTATCCTCTTCAGAAGACAGTTACGATACGCCGGTGGGCTCGTCAAAACAGAAAGCCAAAGTCATCGATGCATCGGAGCTGCCCAACACGATGCCCTCCTTAATCTCAGCACGCAGCAGTCCTCTAGGCCCGTCAATGCTCTCTAGCCCTACCTATAAGTCGATCAATCTCAATGGCCCCGATCCAGACGAACCTCCGCGCCTTATCACCTTCACCAAAGCGGGTCAAGGTTTTAATTGGAATGAAGAGCTATTTCTACCAAGTTATATGATCAGCCGCTATTCACGCAGTCGTCGGAAACAGTACGACGGTGATCTAGGCGAGGACGATGTAGAAGTTGCCGAGATCTCTGTCACTGATGAAGAAGCAAATAATATGATGCCATGACTTGGTCGCAAAGGAAGACAAGTCAGGGCTTTTGAATGTCAGGGATGGGAACTGGCGCTTGATCAAACTGTGGAATTGGAGGATCCCTGGGAATACGAAGCCACATTGCAGGCGCAGTAGCTGGCGTAATCACAAACTGCTGGGCAACCTTCATATCAGATTGTATTTCGGGTTCTCAATGGCGTTGGATTGTCGAACACCATTATATCCTTTATGTATAATCTCATCATACATCATACGTTCTTGTTGGAATGAAGAGTACCACCTAGTTATTCCACGGTTCCCATGGTCAGGCAACGTTGGTAGACGGGCATCAGCCTCATCGCCAGCGTGTACCCGAGCGTAGCGAATTTTCCTTCTAAAGCGGGCGTCGGTGAAGCTACTATGTCAAAGGATTCGTGTCTGGTTGATGCTCTTATCCCGAACACCCACCAGTATCCCAGCTTCATATGTGCCTCGCGCCTCCAAATATCCGCCTTACGTAAACTCTGTAGACGGAGCTACTAGTTTCTGCGTAAGTGATCCGCATCATTCTCTCTATTGCTCACTCTGGCTTCCTCAATCATCGTGTCGATCCCCCGTTCTTTCAGTGCACCCTGTCAATTGTCAAATCAATGATCGCGTCGTCTGGTAAATAGACGGACGGTCAGGCATGCTTTGTATTTCTTGAACAAATGTTCACACTCATCCGTAGAAGAATTGCCGCGAAGGTATTCTGGCGTAGATAGTTAGGAAAGCATAGTTGAATGCCGTTCGAACACGCGTACTTTCGGAATACCATTTCAAGAAGCAGGTATCATATTTTCTGGTGATTATGAGCAAGTAGGAACTGGGTAGATTGATTTCGACATACTCTTTGACTTCGTTGCATTCAGGAGCCAATGAAGCCGACATCGGGACAACTGATAGAAGGCGGAGATCATCTGCGCTGGTTTGTTCCAAACGTGACCTGACGATCCACCGTCAACTAGCCCGAATGCCAAGACCAGTGGGAGCCAAAAATATATTTTCAAGCCCAGCATTACATATGTCCCCTGTATCCATCCATTTCAAACAACAGCACTAGCAGCAAAGTGGCCACTGACGAGACTAGTCGCCGATGCGACTCGAGCCAAACTGTTCTCCAGGGCGAAGATTATGGATCTGACATCGGATCTCAAGCCGTTCCAGGACCGAGTTACATCTTCATTACTTGACGTGACCAGGACAGCAGGCCAAATCTCCGCAGAAGATCTAAGCTTCCACCGATCGTCTAACAGATCTCTTTCCAGAAGCCTAGATGCCCAGAACATTCGTTTGTTGCAACTAACCCAAAGGCTTCTCACGGCAGCCACAACTACAGGCTCGAGCGTCACTCCGCCCAAAGTACAGGATGTTGAAGCAGTGGAGGACAATTGGCGCAGCTTAGTGGATGTCGTTGATGATCTCTTGGAGCGTGCAGACGCCTGTCTCGATGAGTATACTGGTGTTATCAAGCGGCTCAGTCCAGCAGCTCAAGATGGTGCAATGATACCTACCACTGTAAATGACGGCAGGTCCAAGAGAAAATCATCTACTTTCGCAGCGCGACAGCTTCCCAAGCCTCAATTGTTGTTCGAGAATAGCCACACAAATCATGAAGTAGCACCGTTCAAGCCGTTGCTTCGAACAAAGCCGCATTCTGTTGTTGATCTGGACAAGAGCATTGGTGAAGGAGGAGACGATGGGTTGGTTGACTTCACTGATCACCGCCCTCTTACAGCTAATGCTGCACAGATACAATCACCCTTACGCTGTCGAGATCGAACAGGCTTCGTACCCCGAAAGAGTCTATCAAAAAGCCGAGCCGTTATCGTATAAGTCGCCGGCTAATCATGACGCAACCTTCGTTGATACAAAGGAAGGTATCGAAGAGATGTTGGCTGAGTTGCGCGAGGCCTCAGAAATTGCGGTAGATCTGGAGCACCATGACACGCATTCATACGTTGGAATTGTTTGCTTAATGCAGATCAGTACCAGAGAGAAAGATTGGATTATTGACACCCTAGTGCCGTGGAGAGAAGACCTGCAGATATTGAACGAGGTTTTCGCAGACCCAAAAATTCTCAAAGTCTTCCAAGGCTCAACAATGGACATGATCTGGTTGCAGCGTGACCTTGGACTTTATGTTGTAGGATTGTTCGACACATTTCATGCTTCCACAGCGCTCGGTTTCCCGCAGAAGAGCTTGAAATACCTTCTAGAACGGTTTTGCGACTATCATGCCAACAAAAAGCTGCAAATGGCCGACTGGAGGATACGACCAATACCAGACGAGATGCTGGAATACGCGCGCTCGGACACTCATTATCTGCTCTTTATCTATGATAGCCTACGCAACCTGCTCCTAGAAGCATCGTCACCAGACAACAATCTTATTGATTATGTTTTACAGGAGTCGAAGAAAGAGGCACTGCAGCGATATGACAGAACAGCCTACGATGTTGAAAAGGGGCTGGGTCCTGTTGGCTGGTTCGCACCACTAGCCCGAAGATCAATACGCTTCACGCCTGAACAATTTGCTGTCTATCGAGCCGTTCATGAGTGGAGAGACCGTACCGCTCGCGCGTTGGACGAATCACCAATGTTTATCATGAGTCAGGGAACCCTGTTCGCGGTTGCAGAGGCCATGCCCACAACGGTACCTGCACTTATCTCTGCCACCAACCCCGTTTCGAGAGCCACCCATACTGCTTCTCGTGAGCTAGTTGAGATCATCAAGAGAAGTAAAGAAGTCGGACGCGACGGACCCACCTTGGCCGATGTGATGCGCGAGAACGAGGCTTTCTTGCCCCGTCGACGAAATCCCGGAAAAACAACAGAACGCGCCTCACAAGATCAAGGGGTCGGTGCCACGTTGCAAAGGTTGAACGAAAATGGTGACATTGATAGCAGTGCTGATAGGTCCTTCACGTCTCGCTTTTGGGGAACGGTGGGGAAATCATTAGTGACGACGGCAAGTCGATGTGTTGCACCACTGAATGATGCTTGGCGAATGGTTCTCCCTCTTCCAGCCCTGAATGACGATTCATTCACGGTTCCCGCTCAAGCTATATCTGTGGATGAAGCGGTCGGGGTTTCTACAAGTCCATCTCCTCACCTTGACCGCTCTGGTGAGAAAGTCAGAGCTGATGACGTGTTCATCCTAAAGGAGTTGGATAAGGCCAGTAAGAGGAAAGCCACGGAGGCAGGCCTGGATAATGATGTCGTTCCTTCTTTGAAAATAACAGGTGAGTTGGATGCTAACACGGATTACTCCCCTATCGGCAACTACCAGAAGGGTGCTTCGGAGGCCAGGGCAGAAGCCAAAGTACGGTCAAGAGAAGAAAAGAGACGAAAAAAGGCGCTCGGGAAGGAGGAGGAGGCGATTGGTGATGTTCTCACTGAGCCATTTGATTATGCCAATGCAGGCTCAATACTGTCCGCTCAGTCAGACAGACAGCAGCGGAATGGGTCAGCTGCAATTCGACGAGAGTTCAATCCGTACGCTAAAGCGCTAGATGGCCCACAAGGCCTCAAAAGGGCACGAAAGGAGACTGCTGGGAGAAGCTTCACATTCAAGAAGTGACGTTCTACGGCATCTCGTTTTCGGCCCCCTCAGTGTGTCTGGGTTGCATGATCAACGCTGCATACCGAATGTCAAGTTGTCATCTGGGGTGCTAGTGCAAGTTGCATGCTTGAACTCACTAGTCTGCTCGAGGTGTTAGCTGTCATGGCTGAAGCTAGATATGCTCCTATTTTATTCTCCGATTCGATTGTAGTAGCTGATCCGGTAGTGCTAGTTCGCATTCCAAGGCTGAGTTGGGAAGCACTACTGGTTACCGGACCGCAAGCAGTATCTATCATGCGATTGCTTCCTGTTCTCACTCGGACTTTCTTTTTGGCCCGGGAGAGGACGTACATGGAGTTGAGGCTAGTTTCAGCTCACTCTGTGACCTTGCATTAGCAGTCATACACAAGCATTTAAAACCTGCCTGACAGACTGATAAGCCATCGGGACTTGCCAAAGTCATTCTTTGTGCCCTTTGAGCATCTCCTTTCCAGGTCGACCTTAGCTTATCAATGCTGTCTATTTCTGGCTTCACACTGCACTACTATGGTACTCCGAATTTGTCTTTGCATGAGAGCTGCGCGCATCTGTAGATAACATGGCGACCAGAAAAGCCACGGGCGGAACAACACGATCGTGCGTTTGAAGCTAGGTATCTGCCTTGACTTTGTGACTATTTACGCTTGAAAAAGCTTGCCCACTTCTTGTGCAGTTTTTATAGGCGGGGGTTCAGGCTCGAAACCCGAGTTTGTCCTTGCTGTCCACTGACTCATGGACGTTTCAAGGCCCTGACCATCGCATTGCCTACTTGGGAAGAGCAGGTGCGGGAAAGTTGATGGTCTGACCTCGAAGCTCAAAACTAGGGCCACCACCTTCTCCATGAACATGCTAGCTAGCTTAGATTATAGAGGATAATCTTATGGACGTCGCGATGAAAAGCTGGCTAAGAGAAGGAGTCTAACCAATCTTACCGAATTGTCCCTGCTGTACGGAGCAGGTGGTCTTCTCTGTTGTGTTCCTAGATTTAGGGCGAAACTGATGGCTCTTTGGGGCATGCCACCCCTCCACAGTCCGGAACCACCAGAACTATTTGCTAACTTATGTATCACTTGATGCGCCGTGCGGTTGTTCCCCTGGCCTAACTTGATGGCGACTGGTTCCCTTCAGGTCTGTCCTACTCGAGCACTCGTATAAGAGACGTTGGTCGATCTTTGCGAGACATGAGGGTGTTGTTGTGTCACCGTTCCTTTGATTGCAGGGTCAAGATATGTTTGAAGACTCCGCCTTTCTGCGCCTGCTTGGTGGAATCATTCAACGACAGAGAGTCCTGGCTAATCTTTTCCTTTTATAGATTGAAGCTTTCTTTGTCATGATTATTGCTAGGAAAATATCTAGTACGCCAGTAGCATCGATGAAGAAATTATAAGCGTCTGATTGTGATCATTCCTGCAGTGGTGCTTCAGGCTTGAACCCTTGCGCCCGAGAAAATAGCTTCTGGGCGCTGTCAAAGCTTACAGTTCAAGAACTTAGCAGTTATCATCTCCATTACCGAAATGCTTTGTTCCATTGGTCCGTTCAGGAACCATCCGTAGAAGGCAAGCCCCGTTTCAACGCTCATTCTCTCTGACCTCCTCCAATCCCTTACCATCATCTCCTTTTGCGCACCAGGCCTCCGTGCTCCCTGCTGTATCAATCAGGCTATCACCCAACCAGCGGCCCCCACCTTTGATCCGCCACCCATCTCATTGTTGCGGAACATCCGATCGCTTTCCACGTACCATACAATAGTAGCCTGCACCACCAATTGTGGTTCGCCACGGGTACCTGAAGTCCCCTGGTGCGACAGCTCGTCCGTCAATCCACTTATTCATCCTTCCTGCGTCCACTTGCCTCGACGATAGCTCCAGCAAGGCTGGCTGCCGAACAACGTCGCTATATCAGTGCAGAAGCCTGCGATTTATATGGCCATCCCAATGCACTTGGAATAGGATTCAGATCAAAAGGTATCACGCCGGTCGCGATATCGGGTCATACATCCGGAGTACATCAGTAAAGATCAGACACCGATTTTCACAATATAATATCTTTAATGATCCAGGCGGCTGTCGTCCTCTTCCTGTTTGTCCAACTACAGATTGTTACATTGCTGGACACCCTCTTGTTAAGGTCAACCAAAACTCCTGCGCCTGCGCTTCTTTCAGACTACATAGTTTGATATTTGTACGACAAGTAAGGGACTTTGATGATAACTTCGTTACGAACTGAAGTTCCCGCGAAGAATTTTAAATCGAACAAATCCCCCCTTGGGCGAGACAAGCAACACCACGACATGTCGGTCGCAACGATGCTCCAACCCGCATCGCGGACTTCTACCTCCTCTTCCGGCTCCTTCCAACCAATGACCCGACAAAACACACTTTCTAGCCATGATGGACGATCGGTTAGACAATCCAAGCGCATTTCCATGACTGCTCTCTATGTTAGCATGAGCGCAAAGGAGAAGGACTTGGAAATCAGCGATGATTTAGCAAGAGCACAAAGAACATTACGCGATCTGAAAGCGAAGATATCCAGTCAATCCAAGAAGAATTTCGTTCTGGAGAAAGATGTTCGGTACCTCGATTCGAGAATAGCGTTATTGATTGCGAATAGGATGGCACTGGAAGAGGTGAGTAACGAACAGCCAAGCATGATTTCAACCTATTGATTCTGATTCCAGCAAAATGAAGTGGCCAGCCACCTCGATGATGCTACGGAAATCCAAGAAGGATCATTTCCTAATGACGAGAAGACCCAGAAATATGGCAACCTGCTATTCATGCTCCAATCTGAACCCCGGCACGTTGCACACCTATGCAGACTTGTCACCATGGCCGAGATTGATTCTCTGCTACAGACTGTCATGTTCACCATCTATGGCAATCAATACGAAAGCCGGGAAGAACATTTGCTTTTGACCATGTTTCAGTCTGTCCTGACATACCAGTTTGACCACACACCAGAATACTCGTCCCTACTCCGACAAAATACACCTGTCTCACGAATGATGACAACATATACCAGGCGAGGGCCAGGCCAGAGCTATTTGAAAGAAGTGCTTGCCGAAAAGATCAATTCTCTGATTGAACTGCATGACGTGGATCTAGAGATCAATCCGCTAAAGGTGTATGAGAATATGGTCAACCAGATTGAACAAGACACCGGTGAACTCCCGCCATCTCTCCCTCGTTCGATTACTGGAGAAGCTGCAGCAGAAAACGAGACAGTTCAAGCAATCATTGAGCCGAGGTTAAAGATGCTTACAGAGATCGCTGAAGGCTTCCTATCAACAATTATCGAGGGCCTTGAGGAGACCCCATATGGCATCCGATGGATATGCAAACAGATCCGAAGTCTGTCCCGTCGTAAATATCCCGAAGCCCAGGACCAGACGATATGTACCTTGATTGGCGGCTTCTTCTTCCTGCGGTTCATTAATCCCGCCATTGTTACTCCCAGATCATACATGCTGATTGATCAGACCCCATCTGAGAAGCCCAGACGCACGCTCACACTTATCGCCAAGATGTTGCAAAATCTGGCCAACAAACCTTCATACGCCAAAGAGCCGTATATGGCTAAATTGCAGCCATTCATCACAAACAACAAGGAACGAATCACCAAGTTCATGCTTGATCTGTGCGAAGTTCAGGACTTCTACGAAAGCTTAGAATTGGACAATTATGTCGCGCTGTCGAAAAGAGACCTTGAGCTGCAGATAACTTTGAATGAAGTCTATGCCACACACACCTTACTCGAAAAGCACAGCGAAGACCTTGCGCAAGACCAACATTCCCGTCTGAATCTTCTGCTGCAGGACCTCGGTCCCGCACCACCACAGTTGCCAAGGAAGGAGAACAGAACGATCACATTGCCGCTTTTCAGCAAGTGGGAAACTGCCATCGACGACCTGACCTCGGCATTGGACATTACCCAAGAAGAGGTATTTTTCATGGAAGCAAAGTCGACATTTGTACAGATCATGCGGAGTCTTCCACACAACACCAGTGTAACACGGCGGCCATTGCGGCTGGACAAGATCGCCGAAGCCGCTGCTACCCTGAAGAATGATGTGGTCATGGTTCGAAAAGGCATTCGCTCGATGGAGCTCCTGAGTCAGCTTCAGGAGATGCGCGTCATTGATCGGTCAGATGACTTTTCTTTACTGAGAGACGAGGTTGAGCAAGAACTCGTACATCTGGGCTCGCTCAAAGAGAAGGTGGTCGACGAGACGAAGAAGTTGGACGAGGTCTTCAAGACCATCCGAGATCACAACACTTATCTACTCTCGCAACTTGACACTTACAAAAGTTATCTGCACAACGTGCGCTCGCAATCCGAAGGAATCAAACGAGGCAAGGATATCAAGACCAAAGAGCTCGGGCCGTACAAATTCACTCATGCACAACTCGAGAAAGAGGGAGTGATCCGGAGAAGCAACGTGCCGGAAAATAGGAGAGGCAATATCTACTTCATGTTCAGGAGTCCATTGGCCGGCACATTCGTCATTTCGCTTCATTACAAAGGTAAGCAGGTAGCCCTTGCTCTAAGCAACGTTATGAGTTAACGATTTGTGCCTAGGTCGTGCTCGCGGTCTACTCGAACTCGATCTGAAGCTCGATGATTTGCTAGAGATGCAGAAAGACAATCAAGAGGACCTCGATCTCGAATACGTGCAGTTCAATGTATCCAAGGTCTTGGCATTGCTGAACAAGCGGTTTGCCAGGAAGAAAGGGTGGTAAAGGAAGCACGACCATGAAAATTGGGACGTGTCTGCGCTGTCCGATGGTACAACGAAACCTTGCTACAAATCCCTCCTGTGCATGCTTGGCGTACACCAGAAGCCGAGCGGTTGGAGCTATCAATGCACATACAAACGATATCGAAACGTTCTTACACGAACGCATTTACTTCAAAGGCGTGTCTTAACACTAGGGCGGATTGGAGAGCCGGTCAGAACTGGAGTCCACTCCAGGGACGGAAGTTTGCGGAGAAATGCCTTACAGCTGCTGAAAAAACGCGTGCTGCTGAGGGGAGCTACTTCAGATATGATGAATTTTCTGGGAGGTAGTATGATGAGAACCGCATCTGCGGTGGTTTTTATTTGATGAATGTGATGAGAACTGGGTGGGATATACACATGTAATCCTATCGGAATTTGGAAGGAGGCCTACTTATGGCAAATAATAATCGATCTTGCATTTGGAAAGCCCTGATGAACTTTGGCTCGTACTGTCGATGGACATCCTAGTCTTGCAGTACTGTACGGTAAATTGTGAAGGCACCGGCAAAATACTACGTCACAACTCTAGATTCCGGGACATAGGGCGCTGTGTCAGGCAGTCTTTGACGCTGCTTTCGGCATCTGTTGCACCGCAGGTCATGTAATACGTTACCACTTTTTTTGTCACCCAGTCTAATTTTATCAACTTCCCACTTCTTGAAGCACATCTCTCTTGCTTATCTTTCCGTTTTTCGGGTTTCTTGATCGGTTGAAACCGTTCTCTTTAAAATACTATGTTCGTATCTTATTAATGACGTTATTAATAGTTTTTAAGTTCTCACCAACTGTCACGGCTGCCATGCTTGTCGGCTGCTAGCGCTAGGGCCGCCGGGTATTGATTGGCACTACGCGTTAGTAAGGGGCATGCTCGCTATATAGGAGCGACCCCAGTGCCATCCTCGTCGGCTCTGCAGTCTTAGGATAGCACTCAACATGGGCTGAAGATCTCGCGCACTCGTCGCCTGCTTCCAACGTGACACGTGACACCAACTATAAAGCCATTATAATTTTTGTTAACCCTATCTTAATCAATATAATATTAGAAAACATATTTAATAACATATATAAGTTCTTAATTATTAATCACTAATATGGAGACTCTATTCATCATCAGACTTAGATCAAACAATCTGGTGTGGCGGAAAGTCCCACTATTTCCGGCACCCAGCTCTGGTCCTAGAGGGATCCACCGATTAGGCCACGGCTAGGTTTCAACAAGATCTTAAATTAGTTAATGTTCTCTGTTGACTCAATTTTACAAACAACTTCCATGTTATGAATAAAGATGCTTAAAACAATTAATGTTCTTTGTATCCCAAAAAGATGAGAGCATTGTACATTAGTAAGCTAATACTAGCGCTGACTGACACTACTTATGTCGTCCCCTCGTACGGAGTAGTTGATTGGAGAAAGGTGGCATGAACTCTTGGCCAGCAAGCAGGCTTCTAGTCCGAAACGGTGTTTGAAAACTGGGTATCTTTGAAGCATCACCGTCTACAGTTGACGGAAAATGAAATAACAGGAAAGTGTCGGTCGGAAAGAGGATATGATTGGGCTCATCAGAAGAAGAGAGAGAGATAAATACCCGAGTAGATGGCGAGCTTGGTGAGCAGTAAGGCGAAGAGACCCTGGGTAAGGGGCGGTGATGTCTACTTACTAGTCGAGAACAGGACATGGAAAAGAAAAAAAGAGTTGTTGCCCAATAACACACCGGTTTGTTACGTTCAATCTGAGCGACCAATCGATCATTTAGACCGGTTAGAGGCATGGGATCGAAAGTGTGCTGAGAGGAGGAATGGCGGTAGAAGGAATGACGGCAGGAGCCTCCGAGGCTGTGACCCACTGCACTATAGATCATGATTGCCCGAACTTCAGTCTTCGGATACGAACAAATATGAACAAATACGAACAAAATGTCCTTTTCGCCGGCTTGATCAGTTCGCAAACAGGGTGAAAGAAGGACCAGAGCTTTGTACAGGTCCAGACCCATATTTGCGCCATTTCCACAAAATTGTCCTTAATCGGTCATCTCCATCTCCATCTCCATCTCCCTCTCCATCTCGTCCATTGCAATCAACCAACCAACCATCCGAGGGATTATCAGCAAATGACTTATTTTGGTCCGCCAGCGCCCTCTGCGGCCAAAAGGTACCTAAGCCATTTACATGGCTAAAGCACCCCATGTATCTTCCTCTCATGATCATCCCTCTTGTCCTTCCTCGGAAATCCATTAGTCGCACGGGTACAGCCGGTGAATCTACAAACAAAGGGCCTAGCTCCTAAGTGGATATTGTCGTGATGTCGTCTTAAGTCCGCTTGACGGCTAAACCGGGCTCCACACGCATTGTAGGTGCAGATAACTGCTTTTTTGCCAGGTGTTCGAAATTGCAATTGGTCCTCGGGATTTGGTGTCGCTACTTGATCTATTTGAGGTGTTAGAAGTATCAGAGCATCTGTTGGAGAATCCTGCGTACCTTCAAGTATGGGTCGAGGATTAGGAATGTCGGTGATATCCTTCTCTGAGATTGATTGGATGGGAGATGAATGAAATTTAGAGTGCACTACGTCCGTGGGTTGAGAAACGAGCGGAAAATCTGACCTTTGAACAAAGTACTGCAAAAGATGCTGTTCGGGTAACAAGAAATTGGGAGAAGTGTCCAGTTGAATGTCGCCTATGAGTGAGCAGGGAGTCCCTTCGTAATAAAATGGAGAGACTGGTCGGAAAGGATGCACATCCTCAAAGACTTCCGGGTGAGAAGATCCAGTATGGTGAAGTGGAATGGCATTACCTTGCCAGGACACGGGACCGCCACTTGAAGATGATCCAATAACTTCGTGTAGTAACCTAATAATGGGTGGGGAATGATTTCGGACGCTGGCGTCAGTCTGTGTGATTTTGATGTTATGGGTGTCCGGAACAGTCCAGGGCATATCTCATATACAGCAACCACAGTCCAGGCGGTAACTCACATACAGCGACCAAAGTCCAGGTCAGAAATGAAATAGTTTAAATAGTTCCATTGTCAAGCAAGAACGTGACAGAGCTGATTTGTCGTTATCATTCCCCACCCAGGTAGTGTCAGTAGGTAGTCACTCTCAGGTTACCTGGGTATCTTTCAGCACTCACGCATTGGAAGACATGATTGCACCTTCTGTAGCTGAATTCACCCAAGATGATGAAGTCTGTGTCACAGCAGTGAAAGCCCCCAAGGGCTGGCTTGCAGGCAAAGCTAGGGCTTCTGCAACGGACAAACCAGCTTGTTCAGTACCATGTATGCCAATGAGTGGATGTGTTGGTGAAGTAGAAGGAGGTGTGGTTATTTCGTTGGCGGGCCCGTTTGGTAAAGTTGGTAACGAGAACATATCGCCATTGGTTGTTACAATGGACTGGAGAGTCTCGAGCGGATAGTCGATATTCCACGACGCGCCGTCTAACGTCATGTCCTTGGATCATTAGTAGTATTCTTTTTTAAGCTGCGGATGCTACAAACCAATCCAGTCAATTTTGCGATAGACGGGATCATTGTATCATCTGCTTCGGGCTCCGCAACGTCATGGTTAGGAGAACGAAGTCCCTGAGAAGTGGAAAGTCTTCGAGAAAGAGATAAAGGAGTCGGGCTCAGAGCCGAAGGATTTATCGTGATGGCGGTCCGGAAACAATGAACAAACAGTCAATAACAAGGCGCATGGCCTGGTAAAAAGGATAGTTGTTACTGAAAAGGCGTGCTTAGGGAGGAATTCAAGGGATCTTATCAGCGCTGATGAAGAGAGCGCCCCTCCAAGAGGGCGTCCAGCGGGACTGAAGGGCGACAATGATTTGGGCACCAACGCCCTTTTCAGCTGCACCTTTTTGACCAAGTACAGAGGTGGCGTGTGATAACTTGGCAGGCGCCGCTCCGAAGGATTTCCTACTGAAAGGGCGCCCGGCGCAATCCAATGCCCTCTTCTTGGCTTTGCTGCTTTCGGATTGATGCTGGAGTCGAGCTGCTGTTCAGCCTGTTCTTAATGCATACTTACAACATTCTTGGCATGAAGTTGTTAGAACGCCGTTAAGAATTCTTATGTACGCACTATAATGCTACTAGGCATAAATATTATTACGAGTAGCTGAGCTAACGTACAGAACCACTTGGCGAGACACCCCACGTGGCGAGACAATTTGCATACACTTTACGCAGTAACTTTATCACCCTATAAGCCAATTCATCCATGTCCAATTAGGAAAATAATGGCTACCTCAACACCACTACTACTAAATCAACAACACCAACAACCATCCCCCATATCTTCCCTGGCCTCTCCAGAAAATCCCCCTCTAATATCCACCCGCTACAGAATTAATTTCAACATCATGGCGTGCACTAGGTACATATAAGATGCTGAGCCTGATCTAAGGAGAAAGTAGCTGCCAGACAACGCTAAGCACCCGAGTAATAATACGTATTTTACGTGTTTACGTATTTACTATTTCCTCGGAAAGATTCCAACCTGCCAGCCTCCCCACCACCAACCCCACCCCTGTCTATGGTGATATCACACCTTCTCCGCTGCTGTCACACCCACCAGTCCATACATTTCAAGAAGCACTACTCAAGGTCTCCTGGATCTTGCTCGATACTACTTGGATCTTTTGAATTCCAACCTCTGTTAACCCCCAATATCCACCAGCCATTCGACGACCTCTTCGACAAGACCATGGCGTCCCATCTAAAGAATCACCTGCCAGGTCAGAAATCGAGCAAGGAGACTACTCCACGCACATCAACGACACAGGCACCCTCCAACCCACATGTGGATCTCGACCCAAAATACGACGATTATGACTTCCCCACAACTGCTCCAGAGACGCAATCAGGTCACCCTGGTCATACCACAAGGGAACAGGATGCACAGGTCTATCAATTGAGGCAAATGCTAGAGCAGGCAGGATATACGGAGCGCTTGGACACATTGACGCTACTGAGGTTTCTGCGGGCAAGAAAATTCAACGTTGAGCAGGCGAAGACAATGTGAGTATTGCAGCAACCATATTTATGGTGAATGCTCATCACATCGCTCTGTCAAGGTTCATGGACTCCGAAAAATGGCGAAAAGAGTTCGGGACAGACGACCTACCTCGAACGTTCGATTATAACGTGAATCCCAAGTATTCCAGTATTATCCGCAATATTATCACAAAACCGATAGAGTTTGTCCTCCCCTCCCTATTGTTGTTTCTATCCCCTTCTGCACCTCGAACTGACAGACTTCCTCTGTATCCAGGATGGTCGCCCGGTCTACATCGAACAGCTCGGTAAAATCGATCTAACTGCCATGTACAAAATCACAACTGCAGACCGTATGCTCCGCAACATGGTAGTCGAGTACGAAAAACTCGCCGACCCGCGGCTCCCAGCCTGCTGCCGTAAATCCGGCCGCCTCCTCGAAACCTGTTGCAGCATCATAGACCTCAAGGGTGTCGGCGTCAGCAAAGTCAGCTCCGTCTACGGCTACCTCAAGTCCGCCTCGGCCATCTTACAAAACTACTACCCCGAACGGCTCGGCAAGTTGTACCTGATCAACGCTCCCTGGGGATTCAGTGGCGCGTTTAATTTCGTCAAGGGCTTCCTCGATCCGGTGACCGTGCAGAAAATCCATATCCTAGGGTCGGACTACCTGCCTAAGCTGCTGGAGCAGGTGCCGAAGGAGAACTTGCCGAAGCAGTTCGGTGGAGACTGCGAATGTGACGGTGGCTGTGCGCTGATACGAAGTATGTCAACGTCACTGTTACCATCGTGTGAGTTCAGGCACCATCCAGAGGCACATCCTATGCTGACAGATAATTAAGAAAAGCGCCACCTCTTGAGGAAACCGTGGACCCGCAAGGTAGCAGAATATGGATGTGGGTGAGCGGAAAGCGGGACAGGTTGAGCAGGGTGGGACGCCGGGTATGCCCAGTACGGGGAATGCACATGCTTAGATTAGAGCAGAATTGAGTGGCAGGATGGGTTGGGAGCAGTACTCCGATGCAGAAAAGAGAATGCAGATTTGGTAGATTCCATGAATTGAAGAAAAATGTTCTTTACGTTACATCTTCCTCTTGGAGGCCTTCGGGGGCATGAATGGATTGCATTTAGGGGGCATGAATGGAGAAGGGTGGGCTGGGCTGGGAAAGGGGGGTCTCAGGTAAAAAAGAATATACAGACTGGTAGATTCCATGAATTGAAGAAATTTGTTCCTCTATGCTAGATCTTCTACGAAGTACCCTGGAGGTCTTTGTGGGTATGGGTGGCATCGCATGGCACGGAGGAGGTATCAAATTACATCAATCGGAAAATAAGGATCGGAGTGTGATTTTGCTCCCAGTCAGTATAGTTAGAGCTAGATTCTTTCTTAGTTCTTATTAGGAGCAGCGAGTATAGCTATGAGAGCGCTTTTCTGTTGAATTAGAGTGCTTCTATGGCTCGTTCGCCAGTCGCGGAAAGAAGAGTCAATGAATTTCCCCCAGACATGCAGAGTTTGCGTAGATGTGTAGGTGAAGACGGAGGGATCGACTTGCTCGAATATATAAGTACGATGGTTAAGTTACGCTTCTTCCTGGCAGAGAACGAACGTTGCGTCTTGTACGTGTTTGAAGATTTATGTATTTGTATATGTATATATATATATATATATCTCTCTCTCTCTCTATCGCTGGAGATCTCCGGGTGTCTACAAACACAGCAGCACTCTGCTGCCGCCCGATCGACAATTGCCCTTTGGCTTCCTGACGACTCATATTGGCGACTGAAAAGAACAACTTTGTAAAGCGAGCTCACTTTCCACTCGACCCCTCCGACCCCGCTTCTCCCAGTATTCACCCAGTACCGCACTTCGCATAGGTGAGTGCAAGAAGAGCAAAGGTGAGTTCGCAGATAAGCCCGGGGTGAGTGGATGGGCTGACGAGTTCACCGCGCCCCTCCCCCTCCCACCCCGGGGCTGAAGCCCAAAGCAGCCTTCATTCTGAATTAAAGCGAATGGCTGGCTATCAGAGAATCGCACACTGAAACATAGAGGGACGTGCAACAATGAGGGATCAGAATAGCGACATCTTACCATTTTATGTCCCGTGAGGAAAAGCCTTGTCACAGAAAAATCCACTCGTTTCTGATTAAAGCCAATGTACAGGAAAGGGTTCTCGGAAAAGAATGTAGAAGCCTCCGACCTTGCTAGCGTGAAGGATATCTGCTTCGTACATGGCATATTATCACTGGTAGGATCTTTTCGACCGAGAAAAATGCACAGAATGCACTCCCGTAGCAACTGTTTAAGGAGAATCACTTAGCCTCGTCACCAAAAATGTGGCCACTGGCCATAGAGTCGCTGATGTCCTTTCCACACAGGCTTGGTTATAGAACGCCAACCCGAAGATTTTTGGTGTTTAGAAAGTCTTCGCTAACGAAATTCTTTATTATACTCCGTCGTCAATGATCGGGCTCGCTTCCCATTACCTTAAGTGGACAATACCGCAGGAATGGGAAAGGATTTCTTGAGTGAAGAACAACAGTAGCTCTGTTGTCCTAAACAACCGCTTCAAAAGCCCCATGACAATACCAGGGGCCAGATCCAGACGAAAGGAAGAAGCAGAAACTACCAGAGTCGAAGAGCCTAATGCAGCTGTATAGGAGTTGTGTGTTGGTGATATTGTTGACGTTAAAGCTTTATCGTACCCATCTCGTGGGTCTGACCAGATCGGTTCATTGCAGGGTCCGATGTCGATGAAATCTCTCAATGTTAGCGAATCAACCAGCCAGTCACTGCTTCCTCGACCATTGTAAGGCCTATTGTACTCTTCCAGATTCGACATCGTCGGCACTTGTTGACCGACTATCGTAATTGCGGCTTCCCTCACGCTTTTTTTTCCCCAAGTCCCAATATTTCCACTCATCGGTATCAGTATTTCGGGGCTCGAGGGCTTTGAGTTGCTTCTTCCGAGCGAATAGCCTCTCCCAGCTATGATGAAGGTCATCAATTCGGTAGCTAATACATATCGAAACTAGTACTATAACCGAGGTCAACGGCAGCGCAGTCGCCCAGAAGATCCATTGACTGTTTGTTTGGTTACGAATATCGTGCGTGTTCATTCCAAGGAAGCTAGTAACAAATGAAAGCGGAAGAAATGTGATGGTAACAATTGTGAACACCAGGATTGCTTTCCCGTGATCGTCTTGTTCAATCTCAACCAGTGATTTGTTCGAACCACCATTTCTCGGACGTCTGTGATCAAGTTGTCGTATCCTTCAGCCTCATTCGTTCGTTCTAAAGCACTACGGCACAAGAGTGCATCTTCCAGGTCACTAAGGATCTCCCGAGACTTTGTGGTGATATGGAATGTTCGCGGGGCAAGCAAGTTGTTGTAGAGACGCATAAGATCCTTTTGCTGTTCGATGACATCGCGTACGTACTCTACTTCTTCTGAGGTCCGTAACATCTTTGACAGTAATCTTCTTCGAGGACGGCGAGAAGGCTTTGTAGCCCTAACTGTATGTTAGGTATAATACACCAGAAAGATACAAACCATTGACATACCAAATGCGTTGCAGATTTCCTGTACAAAGTGCCAAGGTTCAGTGCATCCGGCCCATTCGTTCTCTCCGCAAGACTATCGATCAGTAGCCCAGTTATATATTCAGGACCAACAGACTCGTAGCTGATCGCACGGGAATATTTGCCCGCACAATTCATGAGCATGAGATCGTTCCTTCCAAGTTCAAACAGCCCTTCTGCGTTGAATCCCAGGATGCTTATATTCCCAGTCTGTTCATCGTTAATCAGAGTCAGAGGTCTATATCCAACTTGGTCTTTGCGGATTCGACGGATCACGGCACAAACTTGTCCAACATATGCAATAAACATGAGGAGACCTTGAAATGCCTTAACAAGACTGGCCGGCACTCGATACAGATCCTGGTCGAAGCCATCTACGCCACTCACTCCAGCCTTAATTTCGTTTACTAGTTCCAGGCAGGCTACAATATGGGTTGAAAGGCTAAGTAGCAGGGTATGACCATCGGAGAAGATTTGATAATCCCAGAGATGATCGTCAAACACAATCCACAGCCCTAGGAATTCGTCCGTGACTGACAGGCTGCTAAAATGGACTAGTCGAAGGTGTCCTATCGCTTCGGAAACACTCGAGTATTTCTGCCTGTCCAGACATCGCGGACAGGATTGGAAAGACTCATTTGGTGGCGTAAACCAAGAAAACTCTTTGCGTCGATCGACGGTCTGCTCGAGGTCGACAACATGAAAGCTATGATACGAAAGATCCAATGTTTCTTCGGCCTTGAGTTGCAAAAAATGAGGTTTGCTCATCATGGCAAGTAACTATGTATCGTTAGCTGCTTTCTACACGCAGTTAAAAACCGAGCTTACTTGAACTAGTGTTCCCACAGCTCCCCAATATTTGTGCAACGCGGTTCCAGCTTGTTGAATTGGGACGAAGAAGGCGAAAAGAGACTCCAGGTCTAGGTAAAGCTTCAGAATACGTGTATTCCATGATATCAGATAATCAGCAACTAGGTCGGATGGCTGCGGGTCAGGATACGAAAATACTTCGTCGATTTGGTCTTGGACATCAGACCTGGATACTTCTGGAAGGGATCTATAAAACTTCCCAAAGGTGGATTTCTTCCCTGCCATGAGAAGTATGGCGTAGTCTTCGTCTGAGGACATTGAGCTATGAATGTGGTTGAGAATAGCAATAAGGGATTCGTCGCTCGAATTCGTTGAGTTACGAGAAAGCTTACTATCGGCGTCGTCCTGTGAACCCTTCTTGTTCTTCATGTCTTGCCTTCCACTAGTCTGTACGTTATCTTGGTCGGAGGGCGCCTCATGGGTTGGAGACTGGCGCAATGGTGCGTGAGCTGGCCAGAGAAACACAGGAGGTACTCTGTCCAGCATTGCGGAGGGATGTGCTGGAGTGGGGCCAGGCTCTTTGCCTGTGCCATGATCTTTGTCGCTCCGGCAAGATTCCATGTACATATTGTTGACCGATGACGAATCACCTTCATTTTTATTTTCTAGATTTTTTCTTACGACCTGAGTCGATTTTGAAACCTGATGGCCTCTTACTTGAAAGTAAATATCTTTGTACACTTCTTGTGAAACATTCACGAAGGGCACATTAGTCACTAGGTCTTCAGGCAGAGGCATCATATAGCGAGGTATTCGATTTGGCGGAGGATTGTTCGGGCCGGGAGAGTATTGGGGTGGTCTGGGACGAATAGTGACAAGTCTTTTGTCATCTGTAACCCGTACAGGTATCTTTTCCTCCAGTTCGCTCGCTCGAACTCGCTCTTCAAGAGGGTTTGTAGAACGCACAATCAGAGCTTGAGTAACAGGGGGCGTTTTTTGCCGAGTGATCTCATGTACAGGAGAGCTTGCGCCATTGTTCGATGTCGATGTCGCGGAACTAATTTGTAAGACGCCTTGACCAGGTACACTAGACTGCTTAGCGGCTTCTGGAGAGACTTCGCCGACGTTAGACTCTTCTAGGTGGGGCTTGTAAGGAGCGCCATCCGAGGCATCTTGAAAGACGCTGTCGATATTCGAGCCAGAATACGAAGTCACCCATTGTGCGGGATTTGTTCGAGTCTTACTTTGTCCCACATTCTCGATTCGCTTGTCATGCTCTGGGACTTTAGGAGGACTGTTGGAGAGCCGACGTATGACAATGTTCACCACAGGAACGTGTGCAGTAGAGTAGCGTTGCCAGGTCTCCGCATTTATTAGGGTGCCGTCCGGCTGGGTGATGCAATAGTTCCTGGGTTGGTCACCAAACCTGTTGTGACAAACCGAGAGGATTC